TGCAGCTTCTCCAATACTTCTAAGAGGCCTCTCAACTTAATGTCCATGTGAAAGGTGCTTCTATTTTAAATTATTCTCCCAAAATAAAAATCCTCCTTCAAGAAGTCCTGACCTCTCTTATTTTTCCATACAGTATTGGGTGAGGCCAGTACTTGGAAAGCTGCGTCTAGTTCTGGGGGCAGCATTTTAAAAAGGACTGTGGAATATTGCATATGGTTTAGCGAAGACCTGTAAAAATGTTTGGAGCAGAAAACATGCATAGGAGTAAGAGACTGGAGGAGCTCCATCTGTTTAGCTTTGCAAACAGATTAAGAGTTGGCTTGATTGTGACATATGAGTATCTTCATGGAGAGAATCAAAAGTCTCTGTGGCTCTTGTTATGCTTCTCACCACTAGATTAATGTCTGGAGGTTTTAAACAGACACATTCAGCTTAAAAATATGACAGAGTTTTTTTCCCTGTGGAGGTGATCGGATCATTGGAACAAATGATCAGATTTTGGTGGGGATTTTCTCTCCCTTGATGTCTTTAGTTCAATAGTGGGGGCATTTCCAAACATACTTGAGTCAGGCACAAGTTATTGGGCTCAATGCAGGGAGAACCTAGTGAAACTCTTTGGCTTGTATCACATAGGAGGTAAGATTAGATCATCTAATGGGCCGGTCTGGTCTTAAAATATTTACATTGCTGAATCGTTCCCCCAGCAGCTCTAGGCACTAAGAGAGCACAGCTCACCTTGGTGGGGAGCGTCCTGCCACGCTGAGCTCTTCTCAGGTGGCAGACGTCCCTTGGAGGATGGATGTGCTTTGTAGCAGGGGAGCTTTCTACCCCTCACCAGAGCTGCCATGTGATGTAGCAGGGTGGGAAGCAGTGTTGACCATATAGGGTCCCAGCTTTGCCCTTTGCCGAGCCCTCTGACTTTCTTCTGCCGTAGCAGAAGGTGACATAACGGGGTCACCTCTGAAAACCACATTGCAACTGAGCTGCAAAAGGTGGAGAGTTGTGAGGGTCCTAAATGCAGTTAGTACCTTCCATGTGGGTTTTGTTATCTTTGTCTCCAAGTAGCCATTGACCAATAAAAGACCAAACACTTCCACGAAATAAGTCGATCTTCAGATGTTCTCTATGCTGCTGCTTCTCTTGCAGGTTGTGGGATATCGAGTGTGGGGCATGCTTACGAGTCCTGGAAGGCCACGAGGAGCTGGTGAGATGCATACGCTTCGATAACAAGAGGATAGTCAGCGGAGCGTACGACGGGTGAGGCTGCTGGACTGCACCCCTGAACCTCCATCCCTGTCTTCTCCCTGCCCCATTACCTCCAATGGGACATTAGGCTCCTTTGTCTGTCCCGCCATTCTTCTGGCTGATGCATGCAAAGCATGTTAGGCTTTAGACCCGCGGGCCAGATCCGGCCTACATTGTCGTGTCATCCAGCCTAGTTGTACCACTCTCCTGCCTCCAAATTTCTGAACCTGTGGGATCCCCAAGCCCTATCTGCTGGATTGAGTGCCCAAGCCCAGACTACAGGGCTGGGCAGGGGTAGTTTTGGGCCCCACAGCCCACTCCCCGTGCACAGAGGGTATCAGAAAGATGTCAGGTCCAGGGGGCCTAATCCCAATGGGAGGAGGCACTGCCAGGGCCCAATCCTGGCACACAAGGCAGGGTGGGGGCACTGTCAGGCCCCAGGACCCGATCCTGGCATTCAAGTCTCTATCTGGTGTGCAGACCAGCCCTGCTCCACTCATCTACCCACTGCTTTAGATGTTCCTCTGGTTCTTTTATCCTTGTTTTGTTTGGAAAGAGTTGTGTGTGCCCCTCCAGCTGCATGCGGTAGATCCATGCAGAGCCTGCTTGTGCTTGAAGGGCTAAGGTGGATCCATAAGATCTAGCATCTTGTTAACATTATAGTGTCTAAAACTGCTGCTGCTTGTCTACAAATCTCACAATTCCTGCACACGCTTTTTTCCCCTCTGTCTGCCACTCAGAAGTAAGTGCTTTCATGGCTGCTGCTCTGGGAAGAGTAGCAGCCCTGATACAGGATAGCTTCCTACACAGCAGATCCAGAAGCAGCTTGCATCTTCCATACAGTCCCCTTCTTCCAAATTATTGCAGGATTCCCAAATCATTGCCAGTCATTTCTTCCTCCTTGAGACCCTAACCAAAGATTTCTGCATCTCCAACCTAGCCAGCTATCAGCAACTCAAGAGAGTTGCCCAACTTCATAGCGAAGTGGATCCATGCATGGGTTTGGAAAGTGGAGCTACCTTTTCCTCCTGCTGCATGCATTCTGTCTTCTGAAACCCTGCATCTCCACTGCTTCACAAGCTGAGGTCTTTGGTGGAAACTACCTGTGCCTGCCAATAGCAGCAGTTTGGTACTTAGCACCAGTGGAGGTTCAGCTGTCAGGTTCTTTACAGCCTGCCCGCACTGCAGCAGAAAGGAGCAGGCTCGTGTCAGTCAAAGAAAGGGAGAATTCACACAGTAGACCAGTGTGAGACGCACTCACACTGAGACACACTCAGCCTTTTTGAAGTCATAGCAGCAGTCCCACTTGAGAATTGCTGTTGTGCTCAACCAACCTCAGTGCTTCTCAACTGGGTGTTGCTTCCTCCAGGTAGAACTGCCCAATGTGTCTCGTGCTCAGCTAAACCAGGAAGGTCATGTGCATCTCTGTTTCCAGGAAGAGTGTAGGCAGACTGGGAAGGGCTACAGCACAAGCCAGCTATCCAGCTTGCTTTAGCGTTACAGACAACGTTACTGAGGGGCGTGTGTAACACTAGCTCTGCACACTACACTGTTGTACTTGGATGCCAGTACTGCAATGGCAGTGCCTGCATGGGGTACCCTGAGAGGGTCTCGCAGCACTCCAGTTGAGAACAACTACCATAGACACAAAAGCCAGGGATATGCAAAGAGCTCAGTGTGCAGTAAAAGAGGGCAGGGGCTTATTGCAAGTCAGCTGCACTTCAGTAAATGCCCATGTGCACGCTTTAATCTTTGCTAGAGACACGACTGTTCTAGGATGTCTGAGCTTACGTAGCAGAACCGATCAACTGCAGCATGAGCCACTTTAATTATCTCGCCCACCGCACTTTCTGTGTGCTGTCTCATTCGTTTAGCCTGGAGAAGAGAAGACCGGGGGGTGGGGGGCGGGAATTGGATCACAGTCTTTAAATACCTGCAGGGTGATTGTAGAGAGGATGGAGGTGGCCACAGGGGACAGGACTAGGAGCAACGGCCTGAAGCTGCAGCAGGGGCATTAGATTGGAGCTGAGGAGGAACTTTCTGACTCTGAGGGTGGTCCAGCATTGGAGCAGACACCTAGAGAAGTGGCCCTGGAAGTTTTCCAGAGCAGGGTGAACAGACACTTGGCTGGGATGGTTATACAGGGGCGATCCTGCCACGACCTTCTGAGGCCCCTTCCAGCCTGACTGTCCTATGAACTTATCCCATGGTAAGAGCTAACCCATGGTACAGTAGCCTTCAGTGAGAGACATAGAGTTATCACTGGTTGCCTTTCCTGTACAGCGGGTAAGAGCACGCACATGGGCAGTTAGCCCAGAGCAGCTGTTGGGTGGTAAATCCCTGCCCTCTGGCACCACATGGTAAATTGTTTGTATGTCTGTGTCCTTAGATTCATTTTTTGGGCAAATAAAGGGCTTGATGAACTATATTACATGCACTCACACCCACTCTCTTGTCCCTTGTCACTTTGTTTTATGTCTTTTGACCCATTCACCATAAACCTGCCTGATTCTCTATGTTACCTGCACCCCTTTTTCCCCCTTAACATAAGCGAGCTTTGCCCAAGAGAGAGCACCACGTCTCGAGCAGAAGTATTCACCTGTGCTTCTCCACGAGCCAGGTGCATCATCTGAGCTGTTACACGTTTACCTTCTGGTGAGCACTTGCTCTGTAGCAAAGTCACAAGGTTTGTCTCTCTTTCCTCCCTAGGAAAATTAAAGTGTGGGACCTCGTGGCTGCCCTGGACCCTCGCGCCCCAGCAGGGACTCTCTGTCTGCGAACCCTCGTGGTAAGAGTTTTTGGTTGGGGGGGGGGCTGGGGTTGGGTTTGTCAAGGCTTTGTTGGGCCATGGAGTCTTGAGCTGGTTTAGACTGTCTGCAGGAGCTCTGATCCAGCCAGCAGGCCCGAAAATTTCCAGGGCCCAGAGGCCAAACTGAGCCAACACAGCTGGGGATTGGCAGTGAAGAAGGTTAAACCACAGGAGGGATCCCGGGTCACCAGGAAGGACCTGCCCCAGCCAGCTCTCGGTCAGACACCATGGTTATCAGTCGTAGCACTGGGGAAAGTGCCATGGGCCCATCTCACTCAGCCAGGGGGTCAGTTTTATGGCCTCTTCAGCAACACGGGCCCCTGTAATATGAGGCCAGGGCAGTGTTTCTGGGCCAGCTCCAGGGTCTTCTTCACTCTAATATTTGGCGACAATGGAACAATGATTTTTCCCAAGAGCAAAGGTCCTGACTTCACGGGGGAAGATGTCTTTGCTGATCATGACCTTGGATTCCACATAGCGTACGTGCTTCTGGTTGTCCCAGGAGTCTGAGCCTTCCTCTCTCCTGCTGCCTCCCAACTTGTGACTGCTGTAGTCAATAGAGCATTAAAAGGTGGGGATTACACCTCACGGTACAAGGAACTCCCTCCATATTTCTTGCTGAGTTTTGAGTGACTAACAAAGTCCGGGTCTGGGTTTCATCCACCCCTGTGTCTGCCTTGCTTGGCAGGGCAGACGTCCTGCCCTTGGTTCTTGAAATGAAACTTCTCACTGCCCTTAGCCAGGGGAGAGCAGACACATCAGCTCGGCTGCTGTTGTCTTGCCCCTTGTTGGAAGCTGAAGCCAAAGGCAGGATGGATCACAGACCCTGACCCCCTCGCCCCCAGCCTTGGACCTTGCCTGTTGTCACATGGCTCTGTCTACCACTGATGATCACTGCCAATCTGGTGGTGGGAGAAGGGCTCTGGGGCAGACCTGCTCTCCTCTTGCTCCCACTTTTAGCACTGAGCCACGTTGGCTGTAGGGGAATTTCATAGATTTCATAGACGTTAGGGCTGGAAGGGACCTCGGAAGATCATTGAGTCCAGCCCCCTGCCCCAGGGGCAGGAAGTCAGCTGGGATCAGAGGATCCCAGCAAGATAAATGTCCAAATGTCTCTTAAATGAATCCAGAGTAGGTGCTTGCACAACCTCCGGTGACAGTCTGTTCCAGGCCTTTGGGGCTCAGACAGTAAAGAAATTCTTCCTTATGTCCAGCCTGAAACGGTCTTGGAGGAGTCTGTGACCATTTGACCTTGTTATCCCTTGGGGCGCTCTGGTGAACAGGCATTCCCCCAGATCCTGATGAGCATCCCTGGTAAACTTATAGGTGGCCACCAGGTCCACCCTGAGCCTGCATTTTTCCAGGCTGAAGACTCCCATGGCTCTCAGCCTCTCCTCATCAGGCCTGTTCTCCTGCCCCCTGATCATGTGCATGGCTCTCCTCTGGACTCTCTCAAGTTTCTCCATGTCTTTTTTAAATTGTGGAGCCCAGAACTGGATGCAGTGCTCCAGTTGCAGCCTCACCAAGGCCGAGTACAGCGGGAGGATGACATCCTGAGATTTGCTAGAGAAGCATTTATGGATGCAAGCCAGAGTTTTGCTCGCTTTACCAGCCACAACATCGCATTGGTGGCTCATATTCGTCTTGCGGTCAATCACGACCCCCAAGTCTCTTTTGGCCATGGTGCTAGCAAGCATAGCGCTGCCAAGCCTGAAAGCATGCTGCAGGTTTTTCTTCCCAAAGTGGAGAACCTTGCATTTATTGGTGTTGAACACCATCAGGTTTTCATCTGCCCACTTTCTGAGCCTGTCCAAGACCGCCTGGATCATCATCCTGCCCTCAGGTGTGGACACTTTACCCCAAAGTTGGTGTCAATGGTGAACTTGGCCAGTCCGCTTCTGATATCAATGTCCACATCATTGATAAAGAATCTAGGAATGGGTTAAGAAAATGCCGGGGTAGACTAGGCCATAAAGGTGACACCCCCCCAGTCTGGGCTGAAATGCTTGAGCAAGAAGCCATAGGAAGCCCAGTCAGCTGCTGCACTGGCCATGCCTGTTCTGTGTTTAAGCAGCTTCCAGCCCAGCTCCTGACTCCCTTTGAAATACAAAGGAGCCTGGGAGCCTTCATAGGAGTGGAAAGCTCAGGCTTCGGTGGCATTAGCATTCATCCAGCCTGCTCCCATCCATGGGCCCAGTGACTGTTCCCTTCCTTCACCATAAACCTGCCGCAAAGCGAGTGGCTGATTCCCCAGACCGCAGGGCGAGGGTTCAAGGGCCAGACAGTCTGCAGCAAGGCATTGAAAGGCATCTTTCAGAGAGCGGGCTGACTCGCACCCATGGAAACCGCTCCGTCAGCCAGCTACGTACCCAAAGCATCGGGAGACTCCAGTGCAATTAGCAGCACTGATCGCATACCAGGCTTAAACCCTGAGCACAGCGTGTGCCCGCAGACCTGGGAGGTTTTATTTAACTAGTGCCATTCCACCCGCCTTCTCCAGCCACGGACATCCTGGGTGCTCCAGCTAATTGTGTCATCCATCAGAAATCATGGGAGGAAATTGTTGTAGGACTCTGGGAGCAGTTGCCAATAAATCCCCCAGCCTGAGAGCAGCAGAGAGGACTGAGCAGGGGAAGGAGGGTAGGTTTAAGTGTGTCTGTTTTAAAATCTTTCACATCTGTGACAACAGGGCATCTTTGCATCCACTTACCCAGGCTCTCCCCCCCACCCGCCTTCCCTCCGCTTCCCAAATTAAACCTGGCTTCACAATGAACATCGCCAGCCCCCCACGGTTTGTGTTCAATTTTCAAACAGTGGGGGAAAAGTCCACAGATAACGAATGCTCGCCGCATGCCAGCTCCCTCGCATTTTTTTCCCTCCTTTAGATGGAGCAGCAGCCGCGTGAGTTTAACAGCGCTTTCTAGGCTGAGAATCAGCCTGCTCCGGCTTTCCCCTCCCAGCCAAGGGAGGCAAGTTTTCTGGGCTTTGCGAGGCGACGTAGGCCTCTCACACGGGCTCTCCCCGTGACAGCAAGGGGCAAGCGTGACAATCAGGCGCAGACACTTCAGGCGTGTGCCTCTGACTTCATAAGCGCAGGATTGAAAAAATAGTTTTTTTGGAACAGCCTTTAAAAAGACGCTCGGTTTCTTTCAGCATCTTGTGAATGACGTCTCAGCAAAATGACAGAGGCTCTTAGTACAATTCGGGAAACACCTTTCCCACTAGAATATAGGGGCAGGTGCCGAGAGTGGTTGCTTTTTTAATCAGTGAGAATATTTTTCCACCCCCAAAGATGTTTTGTCTTGCAAGCAGCCTCCTTGGCTTTACGGGTCTGGTTCATGTAGAGAGATCGTCCTGAAACTGCTCTGAAAGACCTTGCCATATCTCCAGGCATTTGAAGGGCTTATTTTCGCACTGCCCACCCCTTTGAGGTGGCCCCCCTCTCTGAGGTTTCTCTTTCTACTTAATGGCCATGCAGTGGGGCAGCCTTTTATTTAGCCCTCTTTAAAAGAGCTGCAGTAAACAGAATATCTCTTAGTTTCTAGGTTTCTTGCTTGCTTTGACCCCGCAGAGGGCATAACAGAGCCATCCATGTGCTAAGCCGAGATGCAAAGAGCTGCCTTTGCCTGCTTTATGTTTCTCCGTGACTGGGAAAGAGGAAGCACCGATAGCAAGTTGCCAGCATGCAGGGAAAGCATAGGGGCACGTGCCTTACTGTGTCCAGGATCTGGCCATTGCTGCCTGTTAATAACAGCTTGAACTTCTGCCAAATCGCCAGGCTGCTTCCACTCAGCCTCTCAGGCTCAGAACGCAACCCCCCGTCAAGAAAGCCCTTTCCCTGTTCGTATTCGGGAGGAATCTTTGCTGGATCGGTGGACATCTCACCACCATCCCCTTTGTCTCCTCCAGTTTCATCCCTTCCCTCTTTCAGCCGTAGCACCGGCGCTGGACGGGGACCCCGGGCCACTCATAGAACTGTCTCTTGATCCGCTCGAGCATGCCGCCGTTGGAAATGCTCCAGAGTTAATGCTAAGCTCTGTAGTAGGAGATAAGAGGATAAAGCAGAGCTGAGCTGCACTGTGAGGACAGCTCGACTTGTTCTCCAGGGCATATGTACCGGGGCATAGGAGGTAATGCCTCCTCTGTATACGGTGGGGTGAATTCCCAGCCCCAGCCACAGGTCATATGCACCCAGTGGCCTTGCACCAAAAAACCAATCAACCCACACACTCAAGCCTCTCTAGGCGTTCCCAGGCGGTACGTCAAGTAACACACGGTGTCTCTAACCTCCCGTTCAGGAGCATTCTGGGAGAGTCTTTCGCCTCCAGTTTGACGAGTTCCAGATCGTCAGCAGCTCGCACGACGACACGATCCTCATCTGGGACTTCCTGAATGACCCGGCTGCCCAAGCAGAGTCGACCCGCTCCCCCTCCAGAACATACACCTACATCTCCAGATAAATAACGCTACACCGTACCTCACACTTGCACAGGTAAAGCCGTGGCCCCGGGGGTGGTGAGCATTTGGTTCGAGGGACAAGCTCAAAGTCCCCCTGTAACGGTTCTGAATGTAGGGCACCTAGCTGAGAATTACTTAGCTGGACTCTACATTCAGAAAGGTTACGGAGGGGCTCCTTTTAGGCCAAAAAAGGTTGAGAGCTAGTGCCAGGTAATGGTGGCAGGGGCCAGATTTCACCCTGCCGTGCCCTGCTCTTTCCACCATCTGCTCTCTCTACCCGGTGAGCAAGGGCTTTCTCTGCCACCAAGGCTGCTCCTCTGTGATCCCACATATGGATGACTGCCCCAGAAAGAAGTGAACACATGCTCTACAGCCTTCTTGAATGCGGTGTAGAACTAGCCTGGGACAAATCTGGGATAACGCCCTGTAGGCACAGCCATGTGTCAGCAGCTCTATCCCACGTTAGCCATTTGCCCAAGGCAGGTGGGCAGTCACCTGCTCTCCCTCAACTAATGGCAAAGGGTGGTAATTGTAGCCTGGTGCATGGATAATAGCTGGTGCTCTGTCCCCTCTGGACCCTGCCATCATACCCAGCGTAAATGAGACTGGATGTCACACATCCAGCATCACGTGTCCAGGCCTTTGGGCGGCAAGGAGCTGGTGCATCCTGGTAGGGAGTGGATTTTTTTGGTAGCTTAGATCAGGGGCTGCAGTTAAACCAGCTGCCACCAGCATCCAGAAATGAAGGGCAAGGGAGCATCTGGTGCTTAACAAGAAGATGCGGGCAGCTTGACATGGGGCCATTGTCCTCAAGCAGGAGGGTTTAGCCGTGGAGTATTGGTTTCCTTCCCTCCTAGGTAGTGACCACACCGTCCTCCCCGCGGTTGGCTGGGGATGAGCAGTGTAGGATGAGGAATGTCTCTAGGGCTTGAGGAGCTGAAGGATGAGTTTGGCCTAATTTCATGGGAATATATTATAGGCAGTATTTATTAACAAGGCCCAATCTAGCCACGTGTGTTGTAGGCATCTAGAATCATAGAAATCATAGAGAAGTGGGGCTTGAAGGACCTGCAGAGGTCATATCTAGTCCAACCCATGCCTGAGGCAGGATCAGCCCTGTCCAAACCATCCTATATAAATCTATAATCTAACCTCTTAGTAAAACTACCGTCAGCCTTGACGCAACACATGGCCTGGCCAGTGCTTTCCTGCTAGCTCAGTGGTTCTCAACTTTGAAGACCACCCTGGAAAATGCCGACTCTTTGCTTTCCTTGCGTTTTTTGGCAGCAGGAAAATGCTAAAGCCATTCTTCTGTTGCAGAGAGCTCAGACAGACACAGCAGGGCAGGAGAGATTTGACACACCGGATCCAGATTTGACAAACTGGATCCCTACTGGGAATCTCAGGGTTGCTCTTGTGTGCAAGTGTTTGCACTCCTTGTGGTGCTGATACTGCGCAGACACCCATAAGAGGATCTCAGGGCATGGCAGGGTGCTGTGTGCCCTGGTTGAGAACCGCTGCTTGAGCTGTAACACAAAAGCACTGTCGCTCTGAGGCTGTTACGGACGGGACCTGAATCTGCACCCAAGCGGTTGTGTAGCTGGGTTTGATCTGTGAGCCATGGGCTGCGCGTTGGTTTGGGGGCCGAGGACTCTTTGCTGTGGTTAGCGAGCGCACTGCACTCGAGGCTGCTGTTAGCAACTTCAGAAAACAGGCAAAGCATCGGCCCATTGCTGGCAAGGTTGTTCCCAGGCATGGTACCCGTGAGGAGCACCATGCCACAGCTCAGCCTGGACTCTGCAGCTGTCAGCCCAGCTCCTTCTACCCCCTCACAAAGCACCAGTAGCAAGCACAGGTTATCCAGACAATGGCGAGGAGGGAAAGGAAACCTGCCCTTGCTTCTTTTCTTTTTCTTTTTTTCCCCCCAGGACTCATTTAAGCTGCAGTATTTAAATTATCTGCCAATGCCAGGACAAACGAACTCTCCACGTAATGAATCCTTGCTGAAGAAAGAGGCTCTCAGACTCGTTTCTGGAACAAAGTTGGCGTGCGGTCGATCTCAGACAGGGTCTGCTCAGCGCGGCCGACTGCTAAAGTGCTGCTATATCAGAAGACATCTTTTATCTTTCATGAACGATTAACATTTTTAAACCTCCCCTCTTCTTTCTCCCTTTTCCCCCCACCTCCCGCTTTTCCCTCTCTAGATGCAGGCACAGATGTCCTATAAAAATATTTAAGGTGTTGCCAGTCTTCGTTGCTTTGCTCTTAAGCAGAAGAATCATTGTCACTGGGCACCGTGCAGAGAGAGTCGCTGCCGGGTCAGGAGGCTGGGGAAGGGGCTGCTGCTTGGAGATATAATTAGGTATCATTGTCAGTCTTTGATAAGAGCATCTCGCACCTGACCCCGAAGAGCAACTAAAGTGATGCCTGAGAGGAGACCCGAGTCCCCGCTGCATTTGGCTGTGGCTGCCTGCGGATCTGTCTGGGTGGAGAGAGCAGGTGCCTGAAATACACCCCCTTTGATGAACCACATCAGGATTTTTCCTTCCGCTCTCACCCGTCTCTCGAACCTGAGGAGGCTGCATGTGTGTTACGAGCTTCCTCTGTGTATCATGTGGCCGGCGCCCTGCAGAACGGCCGGCAAAGCCTGCCCAAGTCTGGAGCACTCTTCCTGGGAGGGTTGGTGGGGGGCATGCAGTTCCTAGGCATGGGGAGATGAGCTGAGGGCAGTATTTCACCGGTGGAGGCATGGTCTGTACCCTAGCACAGGCTTGGTTCGCTTTGAACTTCCACGGGTTGTACCCCAAAGGCAGCGCTGTATGCGTGGCTTGTAACTTGTTCTGTTATTCAGGGAGATGCTTGAGGCTGCAGCCAGGACCAGAGGCTGGCACCTTCCCAAGCTCTCCATGCACCCCCTCTCCCCACTGCTTTCACCACCGGGTCTTAGAGGAGCTGGCCCCATCCTGCATGCGGTGGTGCGCTCTCTGCACGTGCAGCGCGGCTGGCTGGGTTTGGACAGGGGCCAATGGTAGCAATGCCGCCAGCCGGCAAAGGCAGGTGGGTGCATTTTCTCATCGGCTTATACAGGGGCATGGCCTGCCTTTGCCGCCTAGCCGCACAAACCCCTAGCCAGCACAGCACGCACCCTCAGCCTTTCACCCACCTGGCATTGCGGTGTTAGGAGCAAGGGATAATTGACAGCAGGACCAACTCCAGCTGAGACCTGTGAGAATCAAAATGCCTCTGATGCGATGGGCACGCAGCGATTCTCCACGTCTCAGGGGCCGGTGCAGCCGGAGGGTGCCACGCTTTCCCCCACCGCAGCCGGGAAAGGAATCGCAGAGGGTCCCATGCTTGGATCAGGAAAGATTAAACAGAAATAATCTCCACAGTCATCCCGGCCGTGGCGAAGGAGCTGACAGATTACCCGGGAGCAGTTTTAGGAGGGCCAGGTCTCTCGCTGCCGGCATGGAGCAACCCTGGCTCCCCTCACAGCCGTGAACCCGTCCTGCCAGCGCGGAGGGCAAAGGGCCCTTTGTCCTGTGGGGGTGGAGGGGAGGGAAGCAGCACCGAGCAGCATCTGGCCCCCTCTGAGCTTGGCGCTTTGCACCTGGGAGGTTGTTATGTGCATGTCCTCATCGGCCTCGCCTCGCCAGGAGTCCAGTTGCCACCGTGCTTTGGAACCGTGTTTCCACCGGTGACATCGGGTAAGCAACTGGCCCCACAGACCCTGAAGACGCGTCCCAGTAGCCAGCACCCTTTTGGCAGCAGCCAGAAGTCTCCCAAAGGAGGAGACGGCAGCAGAGACGTGGAGAACGGTGCTCCCAGAACAGCCCTAAGAGAAAGCATGAGAATCGGTGCTGGCAGAAACACCCACGCATCTTCAGAGGGCCCAGATACCATATCAGCGCTGGCAGCTCCCCTGGCCCCTACGCTTGAGCTGCTGTCGTAGGAAGCACAATGGAAGTCACCTCTTCGGTGACCTTGGCAGTGACCCCAGCCCACAGAGACGCAGGACTTTTGCGTCAAGCCAAGCGCTCTCCCTTGACACCTGTCTCTGGGGTGAACTTCACAATCCTTACTGACTGGTCACAGTCATCGGACGCCCTGCAACCGTGGTCCGTCAAGGCGGGGGTATTGAAGGAGTTGCGTTTACATCAAAAATCGTTCCCAACTGCCTGGAGGGCACAGTCTTGTCCTTGGCTGTACTTGAGTGTCATTCCTGTGGCCCCCACCATTGCTCCGCCTGCAGCCTGGTAGCACCTGGGCATCATGTATACAACGACAGCTGCAGACACAACGGTGTTTCCTTGCCCCGCATCTCTCGTCCACCTCTGTCTTTCGGTCATAGGTTGCACTAGAAAATGGCAACTCCGTGGATGCTACAGAGGATCTTTGGGGTTCACCTGGGTCTCTGGGCAGTGACTTTCTGTTTCCAAGACTTCGGAAGACCCGAAACTCTGGCCAGACATGGAGGCAACACATAGCAAACCGCCTTGGTTCGGCTCAGCCCCGGTGCTCGTTTGAAACACATCGTTAGGTGTGGAGAAGGTACCAGGGATGTTTAACTCTGCTGTATAAATAAGGTATGGTGCAAATGCTGCAGTCTGTTTTGGCTGTGATGCTCGTCTCTGGAGAAGGGGCGATGTCAGGGTACTTAGAGACCAAACTGCCAGAGAGCGAATTCCTGCCCCTCGCAAGCTGAATGATTCTCCGATGTCTACGAAGGGTGATGAAGTGAGCTGGTCTGACTTGAACCCGAATCGGCCACAGCTCTGCTTTTCTGGTCCGCATCGAAGAAATCACATGGTAAGTAGGCCTCTGTGTTGAGAGACGGCAGCTCTCCTCAATTCCCCGCTCACCGTCCACGTGCAGGGGTGAGGCTTTGCGATGGATTCAACAAAAGATGCCCAGCTGGGCTGGATGACACGCAAGGGTTTTACAAAGCACAGAAAGGAAGCAAGGAGCTAGACGTGCCTGTGGACTTCTGAATTGAAACGCCTCCGCTGCATCCACGTTGTTTCTCCCGCAGCTCCCAGTCGCCTTGGCCACGAGGGAGGCGTGAGACCAAGAGAGCAGGACAGTCCATCACGACTCCCAGCCCTGCTTTGAGGGCAACAAGCAGCAGCTGGCTGCGTTGCTGTAAGCAACCCCATTTGAAACCCTGATGGCTTTTAAAATATACAAGCAGGAATGGGCAGCTTGGGAACTGCTGGGCCAGTGGGAAGCAGCTCCATTTCCCCCCTTGGCTTTCAGGGATGGGCATGTCTGCAAGAGCGGAGGGGTTCGGGACTCACGAGTGGACACCGCCAGTCTCCCTAAGTGAAGAAATGCTCCGAGCCTGGTGCTGACGTAGACAACAGCTTGGCCTGCCCTGTCGCTTCTGCCCTGCTCCTTCTTGCACGGAGAGGATCTTTCACATTGAGGTTTTGCACGCTCAGGCAACACGCCTGTTTCTCCCATCCCAGGTCCTGGCTGCCCCACAATCTGCCTGATGGGTGGTCAGCACCTGGTCCATCATCGAATGCCCGCTGGTTTCCTTCATCCCCTTTCAGGTCGTATTTAGTGACCACTTGGTCTCGCGCTGGCCGATGAGGGTGAGGAGCATTGCCGGTGGCCCAGAGGCCCACAGTTAACAAAGGGTGTAAGAGGTCAGGGGAGGTCGTCCCATATGATGGGGAGACTATGCTGAAAACACGCCAGCCCCAACTTGTGCCCTTGGCTGGGAAGGGCACAAGCGTGGGAGGGGGAAAATCTGAGCCCTGCAGAAACCAGTGTTTCCTGGGATTAGCTGATGGGCGTGTGGCCTTCGGTCCTCCCAGTCTTGGGAGCGGGGAACAGTCCCTGGGACAGCCGGGAGCAGGAGTGAGCTCCCCCAGGGGCTCCCCATGTGGCAGGCATGATGCATGTAACGTGCTGAGCTTTGCCCTCCTGTTCCCCCACCCCACCGCTTCTCCAGGAACGGAGGAGACCTCCCAGCGGCCTCTCCGGCTTTCCTGCCTGCTGGCTGGGGTTCAGAGCAGGGTCCCTCCCGCTCAACGGAGCAACAGCAACCTCGACAGCAGTGTGCTTCCCCCGTGGCCCCCGCACCACCGAAAGGTACTTCCAGCTTGGCAGTAGGTGACCCCTGCACGAAGCTGTCAGGGCTGGAGAAGGGACTCAATCCTCTGCCGTCCCATCCGTCCGAGCTCCCTGCGGCGCATTCGGATCCTTGCTAGGCCCGCGGAGCGGCTCTCTTCCAGCTCCAACGCTGTCGGGCTGGTCGTCGCATCCCAGCCTTGGCAGGGGGCTGGATCTGGAGTCTCACAGCTGCTTTGCCCCCGTGCGGGGGGCTGCCCTTTGCCAACCCCACCTGCAGAACAACGCGGCGCAAGAAGACGTCGGCCACCCCAAGCGTCCAGCTGTCCCAGGAGCCCACCACCCCTCCGACACGCCGACCCCCGGCTGCACCGTGTCCAGCTCGTGCTGGGGGGGACGAGCGAGCACGGCCCCTTCGGTTTTCCGTTTCTTCCTCCGCTCTAGTCGTTCTCTAGGTCCCTCCGTAACGAGTGCTTTGGATTTCGTGATGCCGTTCCGGTGATGTGTAGTTCATGTACTAATGTCCACTCGAGCTAGGCTCATGGTAACCGTGTGGTATATATAAATATTTTTTTTTTAATTATTATTTTATTTGAACTGTTCGGACAATAACTTAAATACAGCTCTAAGAGGACGCTGTGGCTCCGTGGTTTTCTTTCCAAACCTCAGTTCTCGGGAGCCTCCGGCACTAAGGGTGAAGCGCTATCGGGGCAACGTGCGCCACCAAAAGCCTCTTCCAGGACTCGGCTGTGGCCCCCCCAAGTCCCGGGACCTCCTGGTCAAGCTTCTCCTGATGATTGTTATGCCTCCTTCTCCAGGACGGCTTCTAGTTGGACCCAGTGAGTTTAGGCCCACACTTCCCCAGTAACAAATAGGCCTGACTCTGGTTGCAAAAACCACCCCACAAATGGACCCCGTGCGCAATGTGCTTTGCTCACGGGGAAACAGCCCCCGCCTGGGCCACGGAGCCATCCGTGAACATGCGGGCAAACAATGCGCAGGAGCTGCAACCCATCTCGCCCCTGCGGGAGAGGAGACCGGCGTGCAAGGGGGGCACGTGGCCAGATCCTGGTTGGAGAAGCACAAATGTCTTCTGAGAGCTAATCAGACCCCAACTGTTCAGTAATGAGGGAGTAATTGAGGCATCCTGGCATCTGTGCTGGGACCAGGCCGCGGCCGGCACCCGTCCCTATATAACATGCCCCACTCGTGGCTGGGCGCCGGGTCTCTCTCTCCATTTTACGGGGCAGCCCCCTGTGATTCGAAGCTCCTGGGGTGGGCAGAAAACGAGCCGGCCCCGAGGCTCTTGCCATCGCTCTCGCTGCTGGCTCCGTTCTTGACACCAGCGGGGGCTTGGAAATTGTCGAGGCTGGTGCTTTTCTGTAGCGCTGGGAGCGGCTTCCCGGCAGCCCCCGACTCCGGCTGTTGATTTGATATCTGCGGCTTTATTTAACTCTTTGTGGGTCCCCCTACACACAACCTGCTCTTCCATCTGCTGGCACCAACCGTGCAGGGTCCTGGCGGGAGGGTCTTGCCCCCGCGCTCAGGCTCAGCCCCACACTGCATTGGGGTGGGAAGGGATTCCCCCCTGCTCAGACTGGCTGCACTGGGGTGTTTGCCTTCCTCTGCAGCGGGGGCATGGCCTGGGCCTGGGCTCTTTGCAGCACCCATGACCCTTGGTAGCAGCAAGATGTTGGTGCTCGCGGCCCCCTGTATCCGAGGAGCAGAGGTGGGAGCGATGCCTGGGGCTGTGTCAGGGCAACTGTCGAGCAGCTCCAGGATTGCACGCGGGGTTTGCCTGGGCTGGTTCGGATGGGGCTGGATGTGACCCTGCAGCTCCCTGTCGACCCCACTTCTCTCACGCGACGCGGTGTGTGGCCGCTGCTCGGATGGTCCAGGAACAAAGCTAGAAACAAGGGCTTGTGGCAGTGTCTCGCACGGGCCCAGCTGTGCCTGTGCGAGAGACGTCGCACCCGGAGCCGGGCCCTGCCCGCAGGCGCTGGGCCTCAAAGGCTGAGCCGGGGCCGCAGCCACACGGCTCATCTCCCCACCCCTTCCTTTCTGCCTCAGGCACAGGCTCCAGCCCGTCCTTTCCCCCGGGGCCGGCTCCTGCACCGCAGCCTCTGGTTACACCCACAGCATGCACGCATACATACAACGTGCATGTGCACACACACACCACTTGTGCACGCTCACTGGCCAACCTATGGCAATTCTGAAATGCAGTCCCTGCTTGCACACGCACGCACACGAACTTGGGCAGGGCAGGTAATCCGGCCTCCTTTTTTACCCTCCCTGCTTGCACACGCACACATACACAATGCGCAAACACACACAGATAAACACGCTCTCTGGAGCCAACCCACAGCAAGCGTGTTGTTCAGTCTCCTGTATTTTATACGCACGTGTGCGTGCACACGCACACACACTCTCTCTAGGGCCAGCTACTGGCCATCCTGTAGTCCAGCCTCCCATGTTACCCTCCCTGCCTATACACACACAGCATGCACGCATGCACGTGTGCACACGCATGTGTGCACACATATGCACTCCCTGGCATCAACCCATGGCAATCTTATAGTTTAGCATCCTGTTGCCCCCCACCCTGCGTACATGTGCACATGCGTGTGTGTACACACACGTGCACACACTGGGGCCAGCTCCTGGCCATCTTGTACTTCAATCTCTTGTGTTACAATCCCTGCTTACACACACATGCACACACATGGCACCTCCTTGCCCTCAGGGGCCGCACGTCCACATGGGCCTGACTGGCCTGTGCCAGCAGCTGAGGCCCTGCACGGATGTAGCTGCAACTTCCCCCAAGGCCACTGGGCATGCAGTGGCTGAGGGGGGCCGAGATCCCGGCACAGCCCCAATTAGTGCTGCTAATTAGTGCCCCAAGCATGTGCCCTCAGCCTGGCCTGCCCAGCCCCCATGCTGGGTAGGGCTGCCCCAGCTCCTGCTCCACCCCAGAAGTGGCCGCATCCAGGGGCGGGGAAGGACCAGGCCCCTCAGCCCCTCCTGCCACTGCATCCGCACCCTCTGCTCTCCCCACCCGGCTGCCCTGGGCCAGGCTGGGGCACGGCAGAGATGCCCGAGGCCAGCTCCAGGAGCCAGGGACAGGCGACCAGCCCTGGTCACAGCTGAAATCTGTGAACCGCCTGCAGCTGCTTGCGGACGATGGGACCTGTGGAGCCATCAAAGGGATGCGGGAGCCACGATGCAGCTAAGGTAAGTGGAGGCATCCAGGTGCCCCGTCCTGCAGCTCCAGCCAGTGCCCCATCTGCTTGGGGCTGGGGGTGGGAGTTGACCCCCTACAGCCCTGCTGGTGCCCCTCCCGACCCACAGCCCCCTGCCCACCCAGCCCTGCTGGTGCCCCTCACTCCCAGCTAGGGCAGGCGTGGGAGGGAGACCGGCCAGCCCTGGGGCAGCCTGGCAGTGCCCGTTCCCTTTACTCTGGGGGTGCAAGCCCTGTTGCGGCTCTGCCAGGCCCCCTTGGCCCCGTCCTTGCAGCAGATCCCCTGAGGCCTCACACACCAAGTGCTGGACACGAGCCCAGGACCACTGGGAGAGTCTGGGGACAGGCTTGCCCTGCGCTGGCTGCCACTGCCTCCCCGCACGGCCTCGGTCACGTCACTTAGGCCCCGATACCACTGAGACCCCGGCAGGCTCCATCCCCTCCAACCCCCTGACACTCCCTGCCTTAATGGGGGGGAACTGGGGCCAAGAGGGGCTGTGTGAGCCCCTAGCTGTGACCCCCCAGCCCCTGGGACCCCCCACATCAGCAGCCTCCAGCAGGCACAGAGTTAACAGCAATGGGGCTGGAGCTGGAGAGGCGAAGCCGGTCACGCTCCCGGCATGTGACTGCCGGCCGGGGGGGCAGGGGGAGTAGCCCCCAGCGCCGTCCCCGGGGCCTCGATGACGCCTCGTCCCTCCGGCCTTGGCCCCAGCGCAAGGGGCTGCCATGGACCCACCGCCGGTCCCCCCACTTCCCCCCCACCGCAACATCACAGGGGTGAGTGGGCGCTGCATTCCTGCCCGGATTAGGGGGATTGGGGCCTTGCCAGGCCACAGGCCACGGCCGCCTGGGCCAGAGGCCGCCCGGACGCCTGGGTTCTGGTCCCAGGACTGGGGGCATTGGAGGAAGGGACCCCCCCACCCCCTCAACACCTGGGTTCAATCCCAGCAAGTGGGGAGTGGGGCCGGTGGGTTGGAGCAGGAGGCTGGGACCCTGGACGCCTGGGAGGGCCATTGTGTCATGCGGGGGCTCCTGTGCTCTCCCCCTGGCTTCCCACAGCCGCTGGGGCAGCCCCAAAGCCGTCCCCTGACCCCCTGGCTGTGCAGGGAGCAGCCACTTCCCCGTCTCCCCTTGGGGGGCTGTGAGGACCTGTTCAACCTCCCCCAGCCCCAGGGAGCGAGACCGGGAGGGGAGAGGCCTGCGGAGGCCAAGCCCCCCAGCATCGCCTCTCCAGGGCCTCGACTTACCCCAACTGTGAAATGGGCTCACCCACCCCCAATCGTTTGGGCAATCAAGCCTGTACGTACCCATCCTGGCCCAGCTCCCACCATGCCACCTCTGTGAGACTGTCCTGGGGGGCGTGCCATCCCCAACCAGGCCTGGTGTTTGCCGGCACCTTGGGGCCAGGCCTGGCCATGCGAGGGACTTGTGGGGGGGCTCTGCCAGGCCCTGGCGTGGGGAACTGCACCTTTCAAGGGCCTGAAGGATGGCGGTGGGTGAGGGGCTGGGGGCAGCAGGCAGGGCAACCCCAGTGGCTGGAGGGGGGACCAGGGCAGCCCCCCTCCCCACCCCCATGTGCCCGGCCTGGCTGAGGAGCCCACGACAGCTGCCCAGCTCCAGGCAGGACCCCCCGGCCCAGCAGCGCCCCAGATCCACCTTTGCCCCAGGCCTGGCTCTGCTGCTGGGGGCATCGCATGCGGCCCCAAAATGCACCCACCCACCGGGGCGGCTGGGTCTGAGGGGGAACAGCCTCTGGGGGGAATCCCCAACCACCCCCCCATGCTTGTTCTCCATTTTGTTCATTTATTTCATTTATTTCTGTATTTACATGTTTTATTTTGTCTCATCCCATTTTCTCTTTACTTTGTTTTATTTATCGATTTTATTGCACTTTATTTATTTTTCATTTCATTTAATTTTATGTGTCATCTTGTTCTGTTTTATTTATTGTCGTTATTTTCAATTTGTTTTATTTCATTTAATTTATTATCTTATTTTATTTCATTTTCTTTATTATCTTGCTTTACTTCATGTTTTTATTCTCATTTTATTATATTTTATTTTATATTTTATTTTAACTTCATTTATCTGTTTTGTTGTATTTTAATTTGTTTTTTATTTTAATTTATTTATTTTATTTTATTACTTTATTTTTATTTATTCTTTATTGCTTATTTTTACTTGATTTGATTTATTTTGATTTCATTGATTACTTTTTTATTTAATTGTATTTATACTTCATTATTTATTCTATTCGATTCTCTTTATTTTTTATTTGTAATCTTATTCTATTTATTATTTTATCTTATTTTGATTAATTATTTTATTATTTTATTACATTTTATTTTTAAATCTTTTAGCATCTTATTTGATTTGATTGATTTATTATTGTATTTGTTATCATATTTTATTCTATTTCTTATTTATTAACTTATTTTATTTTATTCTAGTTGATTTGATTTTTTCTTTGATTTGATTTGATTTGATTTGATTTTTTTACCGTCTGGCCTCGAGCAGGTGTTTGTGGGTCCCAGGCTCTGTCCCAGGCCCCGGGGGGGGATGTGGGGGCCTGGGGCGGGAGCCCAGACACCTGGCTTCTCTCCTGCTCAGTGGGGCAGGGCGGGGTGGCTGGAGGCCTTTTAGAGGGTTTCTGGACACCCCCCTCCACCCCAATGGCCTTGAAGAGTTTCCACAGGGAAAAATGTGACCCAAAAAGGGGCCCAGGAGGCTTCACCCCCAGCTGCTCTCCCGGCTGGTTTCACCCCCATCGCTGCTGAGTCCCACAGCCCCCCCCCTCAGTCCATTCAATGCTCCAGCTCAGGGCGCTAGGAGGGGAGCGTGTTTTGGGGAGGGGGGCTGGGGCAGTTTCATGGAGGCGCGGGGGTGGGAGCTGGGACAGGACAGGTACAGACAGGCTTTATTGCCCAGAGGTTTGGCAGTGGACGAGCCCATTTCACAGACGGGGCAAGTCAAGGCCCGGATGCGCAGGCAGATCTCGGCTCCTCCAGCACCGTCAGTAACCTGGCTGGACCAAGGCCTGTGCACTGCGGGGCTGCAGCTGAGGCCTGGCCAACTCGTTTCACTCGCCACTGATGCCTTGCCGCTGTCTCCCCAGCCCCTCACGTTCCCTCTGCTCTCCGTCACCCTGCTGGCCTCCTTCGGCTCCTCCATGCTCTATGGCTACAACCTGGCTGTGGTCAACTCGCCGGCCGTGGTAAGCACCGGGGTGTGAGGGGTGTCCTGGAAGGGGATCTGCATCTCTGGGGGGTCCCCAGCCGTGCCAGTGCAGCTGGGAATGCAGCCACCTCTGGGGGTGCCGGAGCCACCCAGGGAGCAGATGACCCAGAATCCAGGTCCCGCAGGGAGGGAAACTGAGGCAGGCAGACCCCGCCCCCCCGAACCAGGATTCATGAATCTGGGCAGGACAGACCTGGGTCCGACCCCGCGCAGGGCAACCCTTGGGTCCTTATGGCCATCGCTGCAGCCCAGGGCTTGCAGCGCAGCAGTCAGGCCCTGCCGCAGAGACCTGATCCAGGCCTAGCCCAGCCCCGCCAGCCCCTGCCCACTCCCACCTGCCGCCTTCTCTCCCCTTGCAGCACATCAAGGCTTTCTACAACATCACCTGGACCAAGCGCTACGGGCAGGGCCTGAGCCCCGGGCTCCTCACCCTCATGTACTCGCTGACCGTCTCCGTCTTTGCGCTGGGGGGGCTGGTGGGGTCCCTGCCCGTGGGGGTGCTGGTGACCCGATACGGCAGGTACAACCTGAGCGGGGGGAGGAGACGGACTGAGTGACTCGGGGGGCTCAGGGCCACACCAGGGTGACTTGCTACCTGTGGCCCTGGCAGGAACGGGACCCTGGTTCGGAGCACGCTGCTTGTCTTCCTGGCCAGCGCCCTCATGGGCTTTAGCCGTGCCCTGGCCTCGCCCGAGATGATCATCACCGGCCGCTTCATCACGGGCATCCACTCAGGTAGGACAGGGTGGGGTCAAAGTAGGGTGGGGAGCTGGGCATGGGGTAGGGGGCAGCAAGGGCTATGGGGTGCTGCACCCTCACTGTGCCCCTCGGCTGGTCGCTGCCCACAGGCGTCTGCCTCAGTGTGGTGCCCATGTACCTGGGAGAAATCGCCCCCAAGAACCTGCGCGGCTTCCTGGGCCTGGTGCCCAGCATCTTCATCTGCCTCGGCGTCTTCTCCGCCCAGCTCCTGGGCCTGCCCGAGCTGCTGGGGGAGGTCAGTATGGCTCCTGCACCTCCTCAGTGCCCACCCGGGGACGCCAAGGAGGTGGAAGGGGTTGGGTGGGCATCTTCCTGGGCCACCCATGGGTGCTCCTGCTCCAGGACACAGAGGCTGGGGGTGGTTCATCCAGCCCCCCATCCATGCCCTGAGCACCCCCTGTGTCCCGGCTCCCCCCGTCCAGGACGGGCACTGGCCGCTGTTCCTGTCTGTGGTGGCCATCCCGGCCTTCCTGCAGCTCCTGCTGCTGCGCTGGTTCCCTGAGAGCCCCCGGTACCTGCTGATTGAGAAGAACGACATCCGCAGTGCGACCCAGGGTGAGCCCGGGTCCCCCCATCCTAGCCTCCCCCCAGGTCTGGACCTCCAAGGCCCCCTGCTTCCAGGCTACCAGGGGCTGAGGCAACCCACAGGCAGCCTAGCCCAAGCTCACAGACCCTGACTCATAACAGGCTGGTGTGGGTGGGCAAAGGGCCTTGACTATGGCTCCACTGGGGGGACAGTGGCAGGGACAGGTGTCGCTGAGCGCCACCCCATGCCCCCACAGCGCTGCGCTGGTTCCTGGGGAAGCAGGACGTGCGGGAGGTGGTAGAGGAGATGCGGGAAGAGCAGCGGTCGCTGTCCTCAGTGCAGACGGTGTCCGTGCGGCAGCTGCTGCAGGACTGCAGCGTGCGCTGGCAGGTCCTCTCCGTCATCGTCATCAATGTGGGCATGCAGCTCTCTGGCATCGATGCCGTGAGTACCCCCGGCCTCGTGGGCGGCAGGACATGGCTGGACCGGGCAGACTCGCCGGAGTGGGGCTGGATGGAGCTCAGTCTCCTGTCTCCCACAGCGGCCATGGTGGACGCTATAAGGGGAGAGCACAGACCCGGATCTCTCTAGTGTGATCTGTCCCCTATTCAATACCCCCCCGGCACCCACTGGTATTGGTCTAGAGATGCCAGAGGAAACGTCTCCAACCGTCCTGCTCAACAGCCAGTGATAAATGGATCCTCCTTGAGTTTATCCACCCCCTTGTTGACCGGACTCTGCTCTCTGCCACCTCCTGCGGCGAGGAGTCCCACCAGTTAACAACGTGTTGCCTAAACAAGTCCTTCCTCTTAGTTTTAAATGTGTCACCTACACATGTCACCTAGTTCTAGTCTTCTGGGACTTGGGGAACAGGTCACTGGTCACTTGGTCCACAGCCTTCATGGTCTTACAGGCTTCTATCCTCTCCCCCCTCAGGAGTCTCATGGGACCCACCAGGGTCTGGTCTCCCTTGTGCCCTCCAAAGCCTCCCCCGGCGGGGCACAGACCCACATGGCATGGCTCTTTCTCCTTTCCACCCTGAAGACCCCCAGCCTTTTCAGTCTCCTGGGGGGTCTCCAGTGAGCACCTGCCCCGGGGCCCTGATCGTTTCTTCTCTGCACTTTTTCTGATCCTACCACAGCCTTATTGAGAGACGTGCATGAAGGAGAGAGAAATCTGCATGTGCCCGGGGCTGTCGGGTGCTCAGAAGTTGGACACAGGGTTTGTCCGGGCTGGTTTGTACAGGGCAGGTCCCTGCCAGCCCCGCTCCTCTAGGACTCTGTGAATTCAAAAGACGAGGGAGAGGAAGGGGTCATCCCACCAGGCCCTTGGAGAGCAGGGACACTCCTCAGCAGCCACGGGGACCCCTGTCCCAGGGCCGACAACATTCAAAATACTCGTAAGACCCTAAAAGTCCAGACGTGCCAGTCACTTAAGGCCACCTCTGTCCTCCCAGGACTCATTTCAGAAACTCATTGGGGAAATCTAGGAGCGGTCTGAGCCCGTCATCCCGGTTCCCTGCTCCCCAGGGACTAGGGGCTCGCCTGCCAATGCCCCCC